CGTTGGCAGGTTATCCTTCTCGCGACTTACCATGTTTCTTTTCAGATCGTATGTAAGGTTTATTCACCTTTCAAATGCCCTGCGCTAGCAGTTCTACCATTGTTGACCAGGTGTGTTTGGTTTTCGCAAATATATACAAGAAACTTATTGTTAGTTTTGATTCGTTTTAGAATAGATCCGTACGGCATGAGAAAACATTTTCGTGTTTTCCATAAATGTATTCGGTCCAAGGATGTGCGTGAAGCTTTCTATGCTTTGCAAACCATCTCGCTTTTGATTCCAAGCTCAGAGGTGGGTTCAGTGCTTAGAATGTTCTTGTTTTTATTTTCGTTCTAGCGCAGAAAAAGCAAATATATGATGGCTCTTCTAGGATGATCCGGTTAAGGACGAAGAAAATCATGCCTATCGTCTGCGAGTTACTGACTCTTTATTTGCGGACATCGAAAATCTTCTAATAAGAAGTAGAGTAACAACTAGACTGTTTTCACTTAGATCAGTTGGTTCTTTTAGTTCTTCTAACGGATCATGAGGAACGTTTATCTGATGGTACCCTAGTGTCAGATTACTGGTATAGATGTACTCGTAGTTGTATCAAGGCGGTATTTGCAATCGCTGCTGATGTCGATTTCGTGATTACACGACTTTTGGCTAAGGTTACTGACAAAGCCCATGGATATTGCATAATAAAGTCGTTATTTAGAGCATATTTTATGCCAAGCGAACAACTGAGGCCTATATCGCTCACGTGAATTTGGAAGAAGCGGGAAAACTACCACAGAATGTTAGCCAAGACTTGATCAAAAAGAGGAAGTATGTCTTCGAACGTATTTTTCTAATCTGATCATAGTGGAAATTTTTGACATTTCCTTTTTCTTTGTTCAGTCTGAGGAATTTTTGCAGGGATTATCTGAATGGTACTTGGCAAAGAACAACAGAACGCGCACTAATAATAATTGCAGAGGTAAACATGTTCGCCTTGAAATTGCTCTCAAGATTCCATCTTTTTACACATTTTCAAATTCGTTCATTCAGATCGTTGAAGGAATCCTCGCGTATGTTGATAACAATTTTCCTAAATTGCTGAAGCGATCGATGGAGCTCGGTGATGCTGCTGCACAGGTTTGTTAAAGGCATTGTCCAGGTCAACT